GAGAGAGAGAGAGAGAGAGAGAGAGAGAGAGAGAGAGAGAGAGAGATTTTGTTACTTTAAAAGAGAAACTTCAATGATATGCTTTTTCAGCAACCTGAAAATGTTTTGAGTATCATTTGGAACAGTTCCTTAGTATACCATCATTTGAGTTTCAAGATCTATAGAAAACAATTATTAATATCTGTGTGAAGAAAAGTGCTTCCATTATGTCTTATTTTCCTTTTATAATCTGTATATTATAATTTCTATTATAATATTACAGTGATTTAAAACTGCAAAAGCACATGTAGATTATTTGTAACTCTACATCATAACTCCATATGATCCTCAGAAATTTCATTTCACACCTCTATTCTTCATGGAAACTCATGTGTTGACTCTCACTATAGGTCCTTTTAAACCTAGCTTTCAAAGCAGAACTAAGAACATTGTCACCTGTGCTTAAAGAAAATCCACTCCACCACTGATCATAAGCAATGCAGAACATGCTGAAGATTTCAAACAGGTGAGAAGAAGGTGTGCAAGCATATACGGATGAAACTACTTGACATTTCTGTAATAGACAGTTTCTCCCCTCATAACTTAATTTTACTTTTAAATAAAATCTAAGAATGTAAAATAATAAGTTAACAGTCATATTTTAGAGAAATGTACATCTGGTGAAGTAAGTCATGTGACTATTCCTGAATTTTAGTGAATAAAACTGAAAATAAGGTAATAATGCTAATAATAAGCAGTTCTAAGACATATCAGAATACATCTAAAAAGCATACATTTAGAACCAGTATGCAAAGCTTTTTTTCATTTCAATCCTATCTGATTTATATTTTGAGTAGGCAAAACAGAATTGATTTAATGAAGTACATAATGTAAATAGTTTGTATCACTTTGCAGGCCTGAGGGGAGAACCTAAAATAACCAAAATAATGTGACAATCATTTACTTCTCTACCAAATACAGAACTATCCACTCAAGATTTTCTAGTTTTGTAATTTTCAAACCTTAGCATCAGAATCACCTCTGGTGGTTAAATCACATTACTGGGTCCCACCTTCCAGAAATTTTGGTTTGGTATATCTGAGTTAGAACCTAATAATCTAAATTTCTAACAAATACCCCAGTGATGTTGATGTTGTCAGCCTCTAAACTGCACTTTAGAAATAATTTTTGAAGTTAAATAGGTGACGTGGTGTGTGAGGGACTCTCCAAATCAAACTGAATTTAGACTATCAAAAAATATTCTAAATCAACTGGTCAAAGCAATTCTGACACAAAATATCATTAATAATTATTCAAGGCAAAGGTTGTTCGCATGAATTTTACGATTAAGGAGAGTTGTAAAGTCCAGGGATATGACAAGCGAAATACAAATCATAGAACAGATCTGACAGATTTAAATTTAAGTATATTAATATAGGAAAACAAAAATGGACAATTTAAACATGAAAAGCCAAAAAAAATTTACTTGGTTAAAAATATGGGCCACCAATAACAAAATGAATAAAATTTGAAGGCTTTTACCTAGAAAAATGATATTAAGCTTTTTAAATGTTAACATATGAACTCATTTCTTTTTTATTTCTCATCACAATGTACACATTGCTAACTTCAAGGAAGTACTCCCAACGCAACATGTGCTTATGAGCACTATAAGAAAATCCACTCCATTTAGTTTTGATGAAATTTTAAGAACATGTTTCCTGTTTAGCATAAATTATTATATTACAACATTTTCTCAACTATTTGAAGTTTATCAAGTAAGGATAACCTACATGTTTCTAAAGCAAACATTATAATTGGTATTTTATTAATAACAGGCTTAAATTCATCAT